CATTGTAGACAGAACCGAGAATCATTGTAGCGGAGGCTTTAGAAGTCTGTGGCCTTTAAGCCTCCGCTACAATGATTCTCGGTTCTGTCTACAATGCGAGTCGCAGAGTCGTAGTCGTAAGAATAATCGACTGCGATTGGTCAATTCTTACTTTGCGACTGCTCAAGCGACCATCGATACAACTGTACGACCATTGTAGACAGAACCGAGAATCATTGTAGCGGAGGCTTTACATGAACCTAGGGATAATCGGACATCGTGCGTCGGATATCGGAGTGTGAATCACGCATAATGCTCAATGGAAAAGCACCCGTTGTTGGTATGTTGGTCACCCTGCTTTCCACCACTTGTAATTCCTCTTCTACCCGTTTGCGATCTTTTCTTGCTGCGAGAGATCTGCTCCAACATGGTTAGTGAAAACGTGAAGTCGTAATCCAAATTTATCTGAAACATCAACGGCTAACGTATTCCGATTATTCGATAAAAATTGTGCGGACGTTACATTCTAATGGATGGATCGGGAATTGGTCGAATTCCACAATAGAATTTCCTATCACATAACCTTGCGTCATCAAACACCGCTGGCGTCACAATTGTTGAGCTATGAATTGAACGACAAATAAAAGAAAATAGTATTCTCGTAACAATTGTGTTTCGGCAAAAATAAAATTAACATTATTACAAGTAGAGTCATAATGACAATACTCGTAATAATTGAATTAAATGTGATTTTGTGTTGGTTAATGCACAATGTTTGAACATACTTAACATGTATATTAAATTGTTTTAGGCAAAAGTGAAGTGTTCCGAGTTAAGGACCAAAGATAAGCGGGAGCTGATGAAACAGCTCGATCAGCTTAAAACAGAATTGACCACCTTACGAGTGGCCAAGGTGACCGGAGGAGCTGCATCCAAGTTGTCCAAGATGTAAGTCGAATTCCGTGTAAATTTCTTTGCAGTGCTCTAAATTATGATGTAAATAATTTACAAAATTATATAAAATGATAAATATGTACTTGTCTATCTCTTTGATATACTTTATTATAATGTTTGAGATACATTTATTAAGAAATTTAGAAATTGGTTGAAAAACTTGTTGATATATAAATCATACTATACGACTAGTGTATTGAATTTGATTTTAGTCCGCAGTATTTTTATTTGGTGCATTTTGCATCTTGCAAATGTATTTCCTATGAATCTTAATCCTTGTCGTTATTCCAGTCGTGTTGTGAGGAAGGCTATTGCACGAGTGTACATTATTATGCACCAGAAGCAAAAGGGAAACCTACGCCTGCTTTACAAGAATAAAAAGTACAAGCCTCTTGACCTGAGGCCCAAGAAAACGAGGGCGATGCGCCGTGTTCTCACCCCCTACCAAGTCAGCAGGAAGACACTGAAGGACATACGCAAGCGCTCTGCGTTCCCGCAGAGGAAGTATGCTTTGAAAGCATAGTATGTATGTTTTTAATTACTATTCGAAATAAAAACTTCACTAAAATATTGAGTGTTTATTTGCGCCGAAGTATTGGTAGCCACCATCTCTCAGCCCCCTCGACAAAGTGGGTGCGAGAGAAAACAAAAAGTCCGTCTGCAAAATTGCTCAAGGCACTGTATATTTATAAAGTTACTCTCTCTCTCTCTCTCTCTTCGGATAAAAAGATTACGTCCGTACTTTTACAAGAAATAGATACAGAAGTTTAAAAAAAACTAAGCGCTCTCTATATACAATCATCATTCTATTCTATATGACTAATTTATATCGCGTGGATATCGTTTAGTTATAACAAAGATTAAACAAATTTATTATTCATGATTACACGGTGATGAGCCTTCCGGAGCACCATGGGCATGGATGAAAATTAGGTTCTATAATACACGCATCTTTACAGTCTTTGATTTCTGTGAGAAGATCTAGAATATCGGATGCAGTTTTATCCTCGATCAATTGTTCCACAATTCCCTGCTCATTGTCGGAGAGTGCAGGATTATCGGCATTAATATCTGAAAAAAATATATATACGTACATATAATCATGCTTTCTTCTTTATTTTATGTCAAAATAAATTATAATTATATTTATTTAAAAGTTACTAAAGAAAGTAATGTCTATATATTAAATACACCCGGTCTCACCTTTATGGCAATCCATACAGGTTTCTGTGGAACTTATTAGTGTTTCGGGATGTTTCTTAAGCAATTCGGTAACTAATACTTTTAGTTTATGTAATTGTTCCTGTTGCTTATTACGTTGCTCCACTAATTGACGGAAGGTTTGTTCTCTATCCTTCCATTTTTCTCCTAGAATCGCTCGTTGCTTTTGATATAAAGTAATGTACTCTCCTATGTAAATGCATACACGTTAATTCGTAGATCTTATGATTTATTAATGAAGTTGAAAAGAAAGTTTATAAAGAATCTAAGTGTACATGTATTTTATGGAAAAGCAAGATTAAAACAAAAATTTGTGTAATGTTAAATTTAAAAATTAATTCTTAATATTAATAGTTTTCAAAAAATATTTGATAAATTTAGATAAAATCTGTATACTCGAAAGTAATGTAGCTTACCTATAGTTTCTGTTTCACTCTGGAGCTGGAGAACAAGGTGTTCCAATCTCTGTTTCTCGTCGGTTAACTCCGCGACCTTTTCCATTGTTTCTTTAAACCTCTTTTCTAATTTTGCGATAGGTCCGGTATAACCAGAAATATCTTTATCTTCCGGCAGTGGTAAGTTTTGCGTTGTTATAATATCATTAAAATTCTGCTCGCTCTCTGTTGTATACTGATCTCCATTAATGCTTACAGTTTCTCCAGACAAATGCGTTTCTACTTGTACTTCTAATTTTTCCACGAGTTCTTCATTTTCTTTTTTCAAATTTTCTATATGAATCTGTGATATATAAATTACAATTACTAAGCGACATTATTATGTTGATTTTGACTAATATAACCAAGGTATTTACGTATTTATGCAAGAGACGTATATGAGGATTATAAACAAATTAAAATTGTGAAATTACTAAAAAGTTCAGAGAATTACCAAAGCATTTTGTAATTCTTGTTGCAGTGTACGAGCATGGTGAGACTGTGCTTGATAGTGCTGCATTTGGTCTGCAATTTGAGCATTTTGCAATTTTTCTTTCTCTAATTCTACCAAGCACATTTCCTTTTCCCTTAATTTTTCTTTTAGGTCATCCATTTGTGTCTCGACGTTATTCAATCTTGTATTTAATTTTCGACCAATACTTCGTTCGGCTTGCAGCTGCTCCGTCAAATCCAACTTAGCGTTACTCTAAAAACACAATTGTTATAAGTTTTTTAACACGAGATCAAATAAGTAGAAATACTAGAGTCTTTTTTAAATTGAAATACAATAGCATTGCTTTAATATTGTGTAGCAACGCTACTCACAAGAGAAACAAAAGCATTTTCCATTTCGGTTAATCGTTCCTTTAATTGTTGATTTTGTGAAACAGCTCTAGATGCACCGAGTTTTTCACTTTCAAGAGTCTGTACTAACTTTGTTACGTCAGCACCATCATTTTTCATATCCCGCTGTTCTTGCACTTCTTTCGTTAACATTTCAATTTCCCCATCCTAAAAACGATTTTGTTAAGAAAAATTTCACCTATTAAGTTTCTGAATTGTTATTTTCTACACATATTTTTACCCTTTCAGATAATGCAATGTGAAGTCTTTCCTGCTGCGCAGTCAGTTCCTCAATGTTTTTCATTAAATTGATTATTTCATCGTTATGATCTTGCGGTGGTGGTACAGCTTCACTTTTCTCTCTTTCATGCTGCAGTTGTTGTTCCAAATCTGATAAGCGTTGTATATAACTTTTTTCTCTGCTTTCTAAATCATCGATTATTTTCTTTCCACTTTCAACCTGCAATTACTTGATGTAAAATAACTAGCGTTATGCGCTGAGTCATACAAACATTTATATGTACCTCGTTAAACAATTTTGCCTGCTGTGTATCTAACTGACGTACATAATTTTGATATTGTCTACTGGCTTCGTCCTTCTCGCTATTTACCAACTTCAAAGTTTCTCTCATTTGAGCCAACTGTTGTTCTAGCACTGTTACAGTTTGATGCTGGGACTCCAACGTTTGTGATGAATCAGTTAGCTACAACCAATTTATCTGCGTTAGTCTCAAGGCAATTATAATTTCCAGTAATAATCATATAGAATTACCTGTTGTATTCTCAATTCGTTTAAGGAAAGTAAGGCTGCTTTCTCTTGGAATTCTTGTTGCAGAGTAATAAATTCGGTGTTCTTTAAATTCAGCTTCTGCTTCAACTCTGACGTTTCCAATTCTAAATCTTCCTTTTCTTTTCTACAGACAAAAATGTAGAACTGATTAGTACGGACAATATATATTTAAAGGCGAGAATTTATTGCAATCAAATGACTTCAATATCTGCGTAATACCTGAGTTCGTAATATTTCTTCTCGAGCTCGTCATAGACTTGCTGCACTTGTTGAGCGTTTTTCTGCGTATCGGTAGAATTACTCCTCGTTTGAGCTAATTCTTTTTCAAGCTCGTTAATGCGAAACTGGCTGTGTTTCAATTTCCCGCTCATTTCCTCTATATCCTCTAAACAGCGGAGATTCAATTTTAACGATGACATAATTATGTTCCAATATCGTCAGGATAAATTGTGCGCATTCCGAAACTTGACGTGCAAATTATAAATATGTTAACCTGAATTCTGCTTCGCTGTCCTCTGGCTCTGTGCCAAGGCTGCAGTGAGCTCCGCCTTCTCCGCTATCAGGATACCAGTGGTCTGCGCGTGGACCTGTAATTGCTCCTTCAGAGGACTCACTTCGCGAACGAGTTTGGCTTCGAACTCTGAGTCCTTCGTAGCGAGAATTCCCTCCAATTCGGCCACTCTGCTGTGCTATTTTATAATTTGCGTTCATAAGTGACAACGAAATTAGATACAAGCCAGCATCTGCACACAGTACCGCAGTGTACTCACGTATCGACTGACTTGAACATGCAAGTCGTTCACAAGTTGCTTCTGTTCCTCCAAGCACGAGCTTAAAAATTGATTACGACACTTCAGATCGAGATTAAATGAATCTGTCGGCTCGCCGTGACCCGTGTTGTCGGTAAGCGCGTGAGCCACTTCCGAGGCCATTTCCAACAAATATTCTTTCTGCACCGTCGACGGTCCATTGGACGTCGTAACGTTCAAGTTGTATCTCCCGTCGTTTCCCGCAGATTGAAAATCTGGCTGAAGATGCGAACGCGTGCCATCTCTGTTGCCACTTTCGTGTAACGCAGCGCTTTCTGGATAATTCTCCGAGATGGGAAAGCTTCTCTCTACTATATCGCTCTTACTCGCCGCTACTTTGGTTTCGGTTACGCCTGGCAAATTAATAGCGCCATCGAAATGATTTACTACATTCTCTTCCTTATGTACAACTTCTGTATCGTCTATGCGTTTCTCATATCGCTGCTCCGCACCCTTCACATCATTCTGACTCTTCTGATCATAGAGTTCGCTCACCTCTGCAGTTTGGCAATTTGTTTGGCACTGTCGAAAACAGTTCGTCTAAAGACCTGCGTCCACAATGCTGGAACTTGGTTCGAGTTCTAGTTTCGAGAATTCCGTAAAAGCCGCAAGTTTATTGGCCACGCATTTCTCGAAACTAGAACTTGGGCCAAGTTCCAGCGTCGTCGACGCAGGCCTTAAGATTAGACATTAACAAATACAGGACGTACGAATAGCCACGCTGTCACCACAGATAATTACCTGTGATACGGACTCGTCCGTTACGCTCGAGTCCTGCTGTTTGCTCGAGGTCTCCTGCACTTGCAATTTCTTTTGCAGCTGGAACTCCTTCAGCTGTAAAAACAGTCGCGCAGGGTCACAACTTTATCCAAGCGCATTGACGAGCAGAGCTTCGCTCTGCCAGAAAATTTAACGCGAACACTTGGCAAAACATTTTGATACCGCGTCCCCAGTGGCGTGCAACATTATTTAAACATTCAACGTCCCCGTTAATTCGCCACGTCGTTGTCACAACTGTGCAAAACCGTTGTCACAACGGAGAAACACTTGGTCTTCGCGGCGAGACGTGTGACTGCGCGATATTTAATATCTATCTACCGACATTCCCGACAATTGTACCGAACAGCTGACGTGACAGCTGGGGTGGCAGTTGTCAACGAGATGCGGGGATTACCTTCTTCTTCGCGGCCAGCAGCTTCTCCGTCTTACTCAGATTCATCGTGCAGAGGCCTTGGTCGCGGGGCGCCTGTCGTGGTTCACGTCGCGGAAAAGTACAAAATCACCGGAAACGCTTCACATCGTCGAAAGCGGGCGGCGGGGTGTCGAGCGACGGCCACTCGGCGGGGTTATGTCACGTCTACGTGTAACGCGCAGTGCCGCACTCGTGTCACGCAGCCCACAGTCCTGCCAATCGCCGAGGGAGGATCTGCTCCTGTCGGCTCGACCGGCTGCACTCGTTCGCAGCTTGTCTCTCTCTCTCTCTCTGGCTGATGGCAGAGAACTATCCGTAAGCGCTTAAGACTGACGTAGTCGTAGACGTACACAATGGCCTTTCACGACTTACGTTTCTCTCTGCCTTGCCCTACGTCTACGACTGAGACAGTCTTAAGCGTTTACGGATTGTTCTCTGCCATCAGCCTCTCCCTCCGCGTTGAAAAGAAAAGGATGGACTCCGAGCGAGTGCAGCCAGTTGGTTTGAAAGGAGCAGGTACTTTCGGAGCCGCGCGTGCGCATTGCAGAGAGATCCGAGTGACGAAATGGAGTGATATTTAATCCCACACACTTGTCGCGCGCGAGAAAAAGTCGTCGAGTGTGCGATTGGTCACAGGATAGAAGAGTTCTCGGGTTTCCAGCGGTCTTCCCGGAAACGGCCAATCGTTTCTTTCGTTTCGAGAGTGCGAGAATCGGCGCCCTGGTGAGATTCCGGAGCGCGCTCCAGCGGCGTGCGCTTATCAAACGAGGGGCGAGTGCGTTTGTGGCCGCGTGTATGACGGGATGTTATCGCGGTGCGCCGCTTCGTTCGCGTGCGACTGACGGGCGCGTTGCGCGCTCCTGAATTTCGATCATGAGCGCGCAAAACCAGCTGCCAAACCTCGACAAGATCTTCCGGGACGACGACGAGGCCGACTTCGTACCTTCGAGCGGGTACGTGTTACGTCGCGGCGTCAGAAACGATTGGCAAAGTGCGAGCGCGAGATAACAAAGGGTGACGGCAAGTGTCGCCCACTTTTCTGACCTCGAATTTCAAACCTTTCATGGCAGATAGTACTGTTAGATGAGATATTAATCCCAGTAAAATTTCAAGATGAACACAGGCACGGTTGTGTGAACGTTTCTTGTGTCACTATTTTGTAAAGAAACGAATTGGCTGAATTGGTTTTCCTCTGTTGTGACAGATTTCATCTTTCCTTTTGTGCTTTCAGGTCTAATTTGGCTGCCATTTTTGGGTTACAATCGAAGCCCGCAGATTTCAATTCCACTAAACAAGCAGCACGTAAGAAGAGCAATGCTCGATATAACGGACAGCAGACTGCACCACCTTCCAAGACTGAAGTGTTGATAGCTAAAGCAGTGCATGCTTTTAAATTGTAATTACACTGAATTTGCTAAAAATACTGTTCATTTCTAGTTGCTGCAATTAATCTGATAGTTTTTGCCACCGTAATACATTGGATATCGTTGAATTTCAGGCAAAATGGTCAGTACGCTTCGGTTGGAAAGCTTGGTATGGCATTGACAGGCAACGTAGTAACAAGGATGTATCAGATAATTTTATACAAGACTAAGCAAGAATACATATCCGTCGCCACAGTGACGCATGACTTTGCGTATACCATGCAAGCGAACAATTACGCCAGTTATTACGACGATAACAAAGACAATTGGTCGATTTTATTCGAGAATAATGAGAGTTACCTGGAGTTTGCGATAGAAGCGGGACTGGCGCGCTACTTTGCCACGCAGGAGAAAGGAGAGAACGTCATCTACCAGGACCTAACGCCAAGCGATAAAGATGTGATCGCGAAAGAAGGGGACAAGATATGCATTAAATATTTCGCGGGGACCGAGATTGTGCAGCCCTTTAAAACGAACTTCGCAATGTCGCAAACGATGACTGTGGAGATATCGACGGACGAGAACTGGGAGAGAATTCTCCTGGGCAGCGGCAAGGGTCTGAAAAGAGTGTTATTCTTACCGCCTAGCAAACAGGTAGTTGACCAAATTTCTATGAGGCGCTGTATGTAACAATGTTGTCCGCATTAAGTAGTTTTACATAGATTAGTTTAGGTCCTGGATTTCCTAAAGAGAGAGATGTTATGCTGATAATAGAGATAACCGATATACGAGCGCAGGAAGACAATTCGCCGGCGACTAAGAGCTCAATGAGCGAAAAAGCGGCCATAATATCGAGAATGGCTAAAATGGGTCAGTCCATCTTACCAAAAATGCCTTTACCTTCCACCACTGATTCCGAAGATACCGAGGTACTCATATATTTTCTATTGTTCTCATTAATATTCGTAAGACATCGAATAAAACCTACGGAATTGTTGACCCAATCTGAAAAGAAGCAATATCGCTTTGCAGGATGATGTACCACACAAATCTCCTCGTCACAAGAGGGTTAGTCACAATTTGCAAATTTCTCCATGGAGACAAAATCTATATTTTGCTAAAATATTGCGTATTCTATCAGATCGATCAGTCGGAAGGGACTTCGCAAAAGAAGAATTTGCCCTACGAGTCATCAAATGAAAAAAAGGCCGCCCAGAAAGCTGTGGAGCCTAAAACTGAAGTGCCTTCTGTAGAGTCTAGTACATATAAGCCATTAGTTGCCGCACCCCCGTTAACGTCGCAATGGACCCCACCATATTTTGCTGTACGATCTATTATTTGTTTTATATCTAATAATTTATTGACGTGATTGTGAGAAATGGTTCGAAATTACAGGGACATTATGTAACGATGGACAGTCAGATGTATCCCATATCGCAGACTGTAAACCGTACAATACCAGCTGCTCTGGATCCCGGAATGAATATGTTGCTATCGGAAACTAGGATAGCGAATGCGGAAATACGAATGGGAATGTCCAAAATATCCGATAATATTCAGAAATTATTGGATAAGGTACGCATATCGGCAAGAGGATGTTAACGCGTTAATTATAAAATTGTTACGTTCGCAGTTTCATGCGCTCGAGCTTCAAAATGCGACAACTCCAACGAGTGATAAAGCATCTTTGGATGTCTCTTGGAAAATGCTCTTGGCTCTTAACGCATCTCAAGCGGGAACGAAAGACAACGAATTACCAAAAAATACTGATAAAGATACCTCGGATGAGAAAATACGCGAGGCACAGGACAGAATAAATTCTTTAGAAAATGATGCAAAAGTATCGAAAGGTAATAATTATCTGAGATATTACAGACAATATTTAAATAATTACAATGTTATATTAGGATGTGTATTGATGTGTATTAATTAATTATTGAATTATCGAGCCATATTATTACAGAGGAAATAGAATCATTGTTAAAAACTAATGAAAATCTGAGCAAGAAGCTTCAAGAATTGGAAGCAAGACTAACTGATACAAGTAACGAGTTGAAGGAAACCAAAGAAACCTTAGAAGTAGCTGAAAGGACAATTGCACAGTATAAAGAAGAAAATGTTAGTTTAGAAGATAGGCTTTCTAAGTGTCATAGAGAACATCAAATCGACACAATATCATCCAGACAAAAAGATGTAAATATCATATTTCCTAATTGAAAATCATTGCAAATTATTTTATTCTTTGTTAATTTAATATATTATGTTATTCATTTATATTGTAGGTTGAGAAAAAGAACAAAGAAATTAAGCAAATAATGAACAAAACGTACCATACATTATCAGAAAAACTTGCGGATGAATCGCGCTCTGAATTGTCTTTTGATTATGTAAAATCCACTATTGCAAACACAATAAAGGTATGATAAATGCAAAAAAAGAATATACATTGTTATGGCATTGTACATTAATGTTCTAATTAAAAATTTTATGTATAGCATATCACTCTGCAAGTATTATATGAAGACCCTGATGAAGAGGATAGAGAATCTAAAGCCACCAAAGATGTGAATTCTACAGTTATTAAAACTGACTATCAACAAATTAAGGCACCAACAATTGAAGAACATATTGAGAAGCCAGTATTGAATCCAGATAGCAGTAATGATTTCTCAATAAAATGCACGGAAACATCACGATCTACCACGGTAATAACTTTTATTTTTATATTTCTCTAAAAATATTTATACGCATATTTTTCTATAAAAATAAATTTCCGAAATCCACTTTTTTTTCATCTCAGATTATGCCTATATTTGCAAACGAACCACCACCTGTTCCACCCGAGGGCATTGATGAAGTGGATAGCGACAATGATTGATCAACTTTTAAATTTACTATTAATTTATGCTGCAAGAAATTATTTCATAAAATATTTCCTATTTTTATTATCAATTGCGTATATGTATGTTCTTAATACATATTCTAAACACAATCAGTGTTTAAAATGTACCATTTCCAATAGGCCACAATGGTGAAACTTTTTGTACATTTCTTAATAAAGAAGACATTTTTATTATAAATCTGTATTGCATGCAGAGGAGAGACTAGGAGCAGAAATATCAGATGCGAAAACACAATATAAACAAATACATTCGCGAGGCTGTTAATCGTTTTTATTCTTATCGAGGCGTTTCCGTCTTAATAGTGACCGAGACTTTGTGAACAATATTGTGTGTGTGAGGAGTGCAACGAAAAAATTATGGCAAATGGAAGTAATAAATATCATTTTAATCCTTATTCTGTTTCTTATTTCTATTATATACATGTTCCTTTTTCAGTTTAGTTAATAGTTATCTTTCTTTTTTGGTTTTTTATGTGATCAATTCAAGTTATTGTATGACATAACAAATATACACAATAACAATTACTTGAATAAAATGATACAGAGACAAAAGTAACATGTTTAAGTATTACCATAAATTTTAAAGGGCTGGAGGACTATAAAACATCATTTAACAAAATTTGTTATTGTATATAAGTTTTCAAATTAAAATATAACAATTACTAATTATAATTTAATAATATTTGATACTTGCTATATTACTGTTTGCTAATGTACGATAGACTAATTTCTGCTTTAATCTGTTTTACGTGATCTACTAAATTCTTTATGTTCTTTGTCCTGTAAAAAAAAATGTATTATGTAAAGAATTAACCAATATAACAATATCATACTAAACTTATGTTTGCAAATCAGTATGTTTTATAATTGTACGTACATCTGATGAAGATTCTCTTTTGTCGCTTCCTCTTGGTTGCGTGTGAAAACAATTTCTTTCTTCTTTCCATTGGCCTCGATGCCATTCGTGTGTGAAGTCTGTTGAGCGGATTTCTTTTTGAGCTGTTCAAGTCGGATCTGCATGTCGTGTATCTTTACGTCCATTTTCTTCAAGTCTTCGGCCTCTGCTCGCTCAATAGACGTCATCGAAGGTTCTTTGTAATTTACCAATCTTAAAACTTCCTCTGCTCTGAAATATAATGTAATTGGAATTTACTTTTTCTTCTTTCAATGTTTAATAAAGAGTTGTGCCGTATCAATCATTTATTTGACACAATTTGATAGTATGAGTATGTAATGGGTATGTAAAATTGCTCGAATATTGCTAAAATAATTAAACAATTTACACTCACCTACGTGCCAATTCTTTCTGTTTATCATTAATATCTTCATATCGTTCGGCTAAACGCTCAGCGGTCTGTCGCAATTCTTTCTTCGTTTCCATTAAAGTATCGACTTCTTTTAACAGATGGCTTTTCAATGCTTTCAAAGCGCGGACCTTCTTACCGATTTCTTCCCGGACTTTGTCGTGCCGGACAAAATGTTGAGTACGAAAGATATTCGTAGCGTGATACAACAACTAAAATGCAAAAGAAACCGTTGCGTTCTCGATTACCATTGGATCACAATTCTACTATACAGCTCCTTTCTTTACATACGAGACAAAATTTCTTAGACATTTATAACGATTTATATAAGTGGAAAAATTATCAATTTAATTGTTTCGTGTGCTCTTTATTGGTATTTCGTCTTACCTCTAGGGATTCGCTTAAGGACATCGAGCGAGATCCTATTTTAGTTATCGGCTGTGATACTTCGCGTCTTAGTAATTTCTTAATGTATACGTCGAATGGTTCCTTATTCACCTTAAAATAATCAGCAATATATTTTTTGCTATAATACTCTCACGAAATAATTAATATTTTCTACACTCTTTACACGAGTCTCTGGGAGACTTGCGCGGAAACTTGAGCAGCTCGAAGAAGTTTAAAAATAAAAGAATGAAATTTTATCACCCAAAATATAAAAGAATAAAAAAATATTCAGAAGCCTCAATACGAAAACATTAATATTTGAGTCAGAATTAGTCCTAATACAGTATAATACAATAATATTTAAACTTTCGAGAGTCGTGGCTCTGTGTGAAGGCGAATACATTCGTATTGAGTAGGTCACAGGTTCGATCCCAATCGTCACTCATGTTGGTTTTAATTTAATAAGAAATGTGTTTGTTATTGATGAAAGAATAGGAGATGAATCGTAATCGTCTTGGAAATTCAAATTTTCTATAATTTATTCAATACTCTGGTAATTACCTTATTTGTCGTGTTGATTACAGGTTCGAATTGCTCGATCCTGGGAAGATAATAAAGATCTATAACCGATAGATCGATGACAACACCTGTATGCAGCAATGCGACTAAAATACAGGGTTCTTGAAGGAGGCCAAAACCAAGCATCGGCGTAGGTTCATCTACGTTCGTATGCTTGGTTCTCGTGGAAAATAAATATTGTAAAATTGATTGGTTTAACAGAGAAGGTAGATAATTTCCGCTGTTATCTAAGGAAAGAAATAAAATTTGTATTAGACCGAAAGAAATGTATGTGCGCACAGAAGAAGAACATTCAATAAAATGCGGACAAAAATCAAAATCTCAATATCTTTTATCTAATTTTTATCTCTTTAATTGTAATTTTTAATAAAAGAAACTCAGATATATGTATAAAAGAAAAAACTTATTCCAATTGCATATTGTAACGATGTTTTTACAGGTTTACAACAAAGCTTGCAAAGTGACAGATACTAATTTTCCTTTCACGTTTCTTTTCTTTTAATAACATAAATATACTTGCCACATAAAAACTCTTCCAATTGAGAAACCATCGGTAGACTAACCATGTGAATTCCGGCATTGTGAGAACAAAAATACCTATAACACAAGTAAGCATTGATAAATCACTTTTGTTCAATATATTATAATCGAATGCAATGCGGATTATCTTGGAACTATCGCTGTTATCGCCATGAAAAGAAAGGAATGAACTTTTTGATTTTTAAACAATTGATCGAGGATCAATTGAACTCTGATCAATCGCCGTTGACTTGCGGCGAAAAAAGTTGAGATAGTTCTAAAACATTCCATATATGTATATGCACGCTTTCTTCAACCTCGATTTGTTGTCCTTATCGCAATGAAGGTGGATGGGACAATTATATTTCTTATCGTCATCGGTAAAGAGAAGACCCAGTTCCAGTTCGACGCACTCGTAAACGTAAAGCGCATTGTCCGGTGTATGAAGACTATAGTTCGAGCCATATTGCGACCAAGTCTGGTAAAGGAAAAGGAGAATAACGCATCGTTCTTTTCTCTCTTAAATAACTATTCTTGTAAATTTGTTTAGTTGAACGATTAACGATGCGGAAAGACTAGCGATAAAAATTCTACGTGACATGACGTCACGCGGAATATATAAAATTTTGTAATATTTATTACACATCATACCTTTCTGTCGTCGTCGTCATCGTCCGATATTTCGCACAGCAGTATCGCGTGATAAATCTTTCCGGTGCACATGGCGATGACCACTATCGGCGGGGTAGTTTGCAGGCACATGATAGAGCATGAATCTATCCCGTAATTATCGTCGGTCGACGGATACATGGACAACGAACCCAGTACCACTGGATTTTCATAGCTGGCAACAGTTAAAGCCACAATAAGAAAACAGACGTTATTGCACAAGCATTTCTTAAAATCGTCAATTGTCAATAAGCCTTCTCGTTGTAAAAGTTAAGCGAGATCACATATACGCTTAATTTATTTTGATTTATAAGAAAATGTTTTGTTCGTACTTTTCCAATAAAATGTTTCCACGAACGATCAGTACTTCGCCGTTTCCGCGTAGCACCAGGATCGGCCACTCGATCTGATTCCAGCTTATCGCTTCTGTTATCTGAAAATTATTAGAAACATTCTCACTAGTACTAGTTTTCGTTTGGAATTTTTGTAAAACGTCATGCGTGACGAGTACGTGTTATTTAGCCAATAATTACTTAAGAAGAAATAATTAAAAAACAAATATTGATTAAAGTATGTAAAATGTACAATAAAAACACATATTTAAGAAAATATATGTTGCTCGAAGTTTGTGATTCGAAGTCGCAAAGTGCTTGAAGCGACTTGTACCTCGACACTCTTATCGGCGAATATTTCCGGCTTCCTCAGGGTAGGAGTGACGAAATCGAAGTCCACCGCGGTCTCGCCGAGGGATGTAAAGTCCGGGATCTTTGAGGGTGAGTTCGACGGCCCGCGACCGACCTTCCAGCGCTTTATAAGTCTTGGTGCGCCGCCCAGTTCACATTCGTATAAACTGCGGGTAAAGTTAAGTGCGGCTTAAGGTCAGTCCGCGACGACATTTTTAAAGATGCTTCGGCGTGCCGCGTAAAGCCCTCTAAAGTTTAGTTTTGCATAAACGCTCCCGTACTTTTAAGCTCCCGTCTAACGCGAGGAAGAGCTCATGAACCGCGAGTTCGAGTTACGCCACGCTGTTTTTCAGAAGTTACGCAGTTTTCTGTAATTATAGTAGTAACGATCGAGGGGATGCTCTTTCCGCGGCTGAAAGATAGTTTTGTCCTAAAGTATAGTATTATACACTGACACGATCGTATATTTCGGCCATTCGTACTAATAAATAATAATTATGCAAACATAATAATCTCTTTAGGTTGCCAGTAATAAATAGCAATGAATAAGTTTAGTCGACCTTAACTGGCACGTGTTTAATAAAATAAAATAAAATAAAATACAGTGTGGCGTTTCGACCAAGGGTTTAGGTCCTTCTCAAACATATTCTTCAAAATTATGTATTAATAATTATGCAAGTTGGAACAAAGACGTTTTAGGAGAATAGTTCTTCTCGAAGAACACACTTTTTCTCGGGAAGAATCAATTATGCCAATTGAAATAAGGACGTTTTAGTTGAATAACACACGGACGGTCGTATGTACACTGAAAAAAAATTTTTCGCTACCGTAGCTAATCATGATTTGCTAAAAATGTTTTGCTGCTATAACTATAAATTTCTGAACCACAGCAAACGGTTTGCTGTTG